ATGTTTTTCTTCTAGCAAATTCAAAGCACACTTGCCAGTAAGCACAGACAAACAAAAGGAAACACGCATCTAATCATCTTCTAACTCATGGGGAACACAATCATGAGCTGAAATAAGCTAGAGAAAGAAAAGCCCATTTCTCTAATAAACTGCCCAAAAGGCCTTTTCCCTCCAAGAAAAAGCTGAGTTCTACTGAATGCTGTGGGCATTGAAGGTGGAAAGCATGCAGCAGGCAAAAGAAAAAAAAAAAAAAAACCTGTGAAGATCCTGGCTTCTTAGGGTATTTCCATTTAGCCAAACAGCAAGAGGTTGGCATAGGCAAAGTTTCACTTTCAACTCTTGTGCTTCTGTGTTCCAGTAAAATCACACACACTGTGAAGCCTGCCGCCATGGCCACCTGCTTGTTCCACAGGAAAGTAGAAATCCTTCAATGGCAGGACAGGGGAATCGGAGGTCTTCCAGTGTTGCGTGGACCTTGTCCAGCAGAACTGAGTCTATGGCTGCAATGGCTCTTCTCCTCTCTAGTGGTGCTCCCACTAGACAGAACTCTGTTATTTTCCTGTGTATCAATGGGTGGTACCAGGAAAAGACTGGCCTCTGTTACTAAGTGTCTAACTACTCTTGGCCCGCTGTCTTCAGCAGGCCCTTATAAATAGACCATCTGTGAAACTCAGCAGTGTCTGACAGTGTCTTCAGGTTGTTAATAGTTGTTGAATAGAAATGAGTGAATGGGACCCTCAAAATGGCTCAGCAGTTAAAAATGCTTGCCTCAGGCCTGACAACCTCAGTTTGATTCCTGAGACCCACAAGTCAGAAGGAGAGAACTGAATCTAAAAATTGACCTCTGACCACAATAGCATATGTGTACCTGTGAGTATACACGTACACAAAATAAATAATAAACAGATGAAAAATATTTAATTTCAACAAGTTTTAGGAAGAGAAATGGATCAGTGATAGCCCTCTACTCTGTCCCAGCCAAGCCATTTTTTTGTTTTTTTTCTTTATTAAGAAATCTTCTACTCACTCTACATACCACCCACAGATCCCACCTCCTCCCTCCTCCCATCTCCCAGCTCTCCCTCCCAAGCCACCGCACATCCCCACATCCCCCAAATCAAGGTCTCCCATGGGGAGTCAGCAGAGCCCAGCACACTGAGCCTAGGCAGGATCAAGCTCCTTCCCACTGTACCAAGTCTGTGCAAGGCATCACACCACAGGCACTGGATTCCCAAAAGCCTGCCCATGCACCAGGGATGGATCCCGATCCCCCTGCCTAAGTGTTACCCAAATAGTTTGAGCCAAACAACCGTCTTCTGTATCCAGAGGGCCTAGTCCAGTCCCCTGGGCCAGCCAAGCCAATTTAGCAAATATTTATTTCCTGTTTTATGACTTCCAGGCCCATCTTAAACCCTACAAGTTAAAGCGGGGAAAAGACACCAACAAACCCAAGATCACAAACATTTGGAGGTCAGTGGTTCCTCTTAGATGTCCAAAAGGCTGCCCAAAGGGAACATTTTTCTAAATCAAGCACCAGGCTCTTCTTCCAACTTGTTTCCAGCAGAGTGTCAGTCTTGGAGACCAGCATTTTTAACTGCTAAGCCCCATCTTGTAAAGGACAACTCTCTTGCTGTTTGGGTCACATCCTTAGCACCCCATGCATTTCTCCTTACAAGACTTGAGGTCTCAATATGTGTGGTAAGAGAACTAGCCACAAACCAGCTAAGAATGTGTGTGTGTGGTTTTCTCTAACTGGAAAATAGTCAAAGATGCCCCACTTAGCACTTACCCTTACCACTAAGCATAGCTGTAGGTTTCTCGTTTTCACGTTTGAATTCTTATTTAACACAGTTTAGCCTATTTTCCAATAAGTTCTCTGTTGATAAACTTATGACCCCTCGTATTTCAGAAAATATAAGGCACCTACATAACTATCTAAACACAATGACGTAATTTAACTTTAGATACAAATTTGATATATGTATGTATACACACACACACACACACACACACACACACACATCAAGCAGGTGTGGTAGTGCACACACACTGGCAATCCCCAGCACTTGGGAAGCCAAAGCAAGGGGATTAAGAGTTCGAGGCCAACCAAGTCCTGTGCTCATTGCATGAGTTGGCTGTTTGAAACCTGGAACTTATGCAGGGACACTTGGCTCAGTCTGGGAGGAAGGGACTGGACCTCCCTGGACTGAGTCTACCAGGTTGATCGCAGTCCTCAGGGGAGGACTTGTCCTGGAGGAGGTGGGAATGGAGGGTAGGCTGGGGGTAAGGGGAGGGGGTGGGAGGGGGGAGAATAGGGGAACCCATGGCTGATATGTAGAACTGAATGGTATTGTAAAATAAAATATATTTATATACATATTAAAAAAAAGAGTTTGAGGCCAGCCTGAGACACATAACAACCCTGTCTTAATTTTTTTAATTTCATTTCCATTCATAAAAGTGACATTACAAATGCCTTTTAACTTGTCATAATTTAATGAGTCCTACTCCTTGCTTTCTCTCCTCATGCATCTACCTTCATTCGTTATTACAATGATGCTATCTTTCCTGTTTCACAGAGGAGTAAAGTGAACTATATTAGGGTTAAGTAAATTATCTTAAGCCTCACAGCTTATGAAAGGAGGCAAGAGGCAATATGGGAAAACACTGAAGCTTAAAGCCCGAGTTGCTAGGGACATGTTATTTGGTTCTACCCCAGTGTCATGTGTCAGCCTGAGAGAGCCCTTTATCACCTGCTAAGGTGGCCTTCGTATGGCAGAACATTTCTGTGGTGTTTTAATTCATAAACTCATTTTTTAATGAAAGCATAAAGTTAGTTCCTCACATCTGTGTCTCTGTGAATAAGTCACATGAATCAAGTTCTGATTCTTGCCGAGGTATTAGGAAGCTGCAGAAATTCGGGAGTTGCTAGAGAGTCACATAGTAATACATGGAGCTAGAATGGAACTCTACGCATGAAATGGCAGTAATCTTAAAGCTCTCTCTTCCTCACCAACCCCATGAAAGCAGTCTTGTAGAAGAAAAAAAAGTTGATGGTGTTAGATAAAGAAATCAGGCCAGTCCTTGCCTCAACTCATCAGCTTAAACATCATAATTGGAACAGTACAAAAAACAGGGGCAGGTGACTCCCACAGCACCCCATTCCCAATGAATGGTGATGTGCAGATCTGTGAAGTATTTCCATTTCTTAAAAATAGAGATTTGGGGGCTGAAATGTGACTCAATTAACGGAATGATTTTCTAGCATGCACAAAGCCCCAACTCTGAATAAACTGGGTCATCTTCAGCAACAGAGGCAGTTTAAAGGACAGCTAGAGCTACATGAAACCCTGTCTCAAAAAAAAAAAAAAAAGCCAAGCATAGTGGTGCAACCCTTTAATCCCAGCACTTGGGAGGCAGAAGCAAGGAGATCTCTGAGTTTGAGGCCAGCCTGATCTTCATAATGAATTCCAAGTCACTCAGGGCTACATTTGAAATGAGAAGGGGGGTACATTGTATGGCTATTTCAGAGTAGAGATTTAAAAATAGAGGACCATGAGGTGGCTCAGCAGGTAAAGATGCTCTCCACCAAGCCTGATGACCTGAGTTTGACACTGACCCACAGGGTAAAAGAAGAACTGGCTCCCACGGGTTGTTTTCTCTCTCTCTCTCACACACACACCCACATACCACACACACACACACACACACACACACACACATGTCTTCATCTCTTGAGACCTAGAAAACTCCTACTCTGGTCTGCTTCTTCTGTTTGCTGTCCAAAGGCAATATTAGCTAATAAAATTTGACAGTTTAGCACAAAGCAAGTGGAATTTGTCAGGATTAACTGGCTGACTGGAAATCCTCAGCCATACCATGCAAAAACATTGATGTGATTCAAGTGGTGTTTAACGGTTCTCTATTCTGCCTAGTCCCTAACTCCTACCATCATCTTCTTCATTGTCTTGCACAGCAAATGACTCCTTCTCCTCATTTAATCAACTACCTGGTACAATCTACTTTCTTATGTTATTTTTGGAGATAGAGTCTCCTTGTAGCCTAGGCTAGCCTAAAGCTCTCTGTATATCCAGGAATGGCCTTGAACATGAGATTTGCATGCCTCCACCTCCCAATCATGCTCAGATAGTTCTATTTTCAAAATATGTCATGGCCATCCTCATTGACCCTCACTTAAGACTTACAATAGTTTAATTCTGGATGATCCTGGACTATTGTTCTTTCTCCTGCACCACTTTTATTTCCCAGAAGTCTAACCTTCATAATGATGCCTCTGAAACTGCCCAGCCGATCCTAAATGCTCTTTCCCCTCACATGGCAAATCCCAACCTATTGGCTCCTCCTTAGAGGGTCTTTTGAGCATGGCCTGCTCCACTCCCAGCTACTTCCTGCCCTTTCATGCTCCCTTCCATGTACTTGCTGAGCTCTCATATCATCATTTCACTTAGTTGTTTTACAATATGCTGGTTTTTTTTCTCCCTGCAAAGTTGCCCTTCCGCACCCTGCTTCAGCCTCTCACCCCATCCTGATCCTCCTTTCACTCTCACCCCTTACCCAATATTGTGGCCGAAATAAATGTCCAGCTGAAAAGCCCAAAGCACTGATCCTCTGCATTGCCCCTTCACAGTGGTGGCTCATTCATGTCAAGCTGTGGACAATGCCAAGTTAGTCATTAATGAACACTGTGAGCCCAGCGCCTGGTGGGGTCTGTGAGCCCAGTGCCAGGTGGGGTACTGTGAGCCCAGTGCTTGGTGAGGTACTATGAACACAGTGCTTGGTGTCCACAATACACAGAGGAGTTCATGAAAATACTTAATTTTTTTAAATGAGAAAAGAATAGAACTTAAAATTTTAATAAATAATATTAATATATATGTAAGCATACAAATAAACCAACAATACATTAACATATGAATATATGTGTGCATTTTGTTTATATGTATATTTTGCACATAACTATATAACCACTTTTATTTTTTCAATAGAGGAGGTCTACAGGGGGAAAAGTATTTGGAACCCACCAAAGCTAAACTGTGGCCTGTGCCACCCTTGAGTTTGTTTTTAAAAATTCAGAAGATAAAATGAAGTTTGATTCATGATTTAGTAACAAGTTGAGTTCTGAAATCAGGTGAAAAAGATAGCATTCAATGTTTCTGGAACAAGTAAACTACATAAATATAACTGTGGGTTTTCTTATAGTTTAGAGACAGAAGAAGAGCAACAGTATCTTGCCTCAAGCCATGTTAACATTTCCACTGACTCATTGCAAGGTGGAAGGAAGTATTTGGTATGGGTCCAAGCTGTCAACGCCCTAGGCATGGAGGATTCACCACCACTACAAGTCCATCTGGATGACATAGGTAAGGAATGAGAGATGCTACATGTCTTTTATTACAGACAACTAATTTGCACTGATGGTGTCAAGTGGTCTAAATCTGAACAAAGCACACCTAAAGTCCCTGCAGATTATAAACAATCGAAATTTTCTGATATTCTTCCACCTGAGGCAATTCTGCAATTGGGCATCCTTCTAGTCTCATTTCTAGATGGCAGTGGTTTTAGAAATATGTTTTGAGAATTTGTATTCCAAAAGCCAGAGAGACTAAGAGAGACAGGAAATCTACCTCAAAAGAACTTGTCACCCTTCAAGGGCAGATGCAACAAAACAAGGATTGTACTCAGATATGATGAACCTTATGTTGTAAAAGCCATGGCATACTAAAATACTATGCTCTGTGTACTGTGTATCAGGGAGGGCCCTTTTCAAGTACATAGAGATTGCTGAAAATTGTATTGACATCTCTAATTTCACTAACCAAACTGGTGTTAGCATGTTTTAACTTGAAATATTTAGACCCTGCCTTTTAAAGGTTACAATATTTAGTAAGCATTTCTATTAAACAACCTACAATACTGTTTTCATTATCTGAGTATATGATTGTTTATTCCCTTGTTGGAGATTTATACTGCTCTCAATTTCCACCATCATTAAATATAATGTCTTGATAATTAGCTAAGGTACTCTTCAAGGGTAAATTAGTTTATTCAGACTTAGCAGTACAATGTGAATATGTATGCCATTGTAAACTATATATGAATTGAAAGAGGATGAGGCAAGAAGTTTCAAAGGTAAAATGAGGATGACTATATAAATTGTTTTGCATTAATTACCCTTGCATACAGGGATTAGTAACAAAGGTGATGTCGACCCAAACAAGGCCAGACAGCTGATGGACAGACGTTGCACAAGCATTTTCTGTGGAATGTTAGGGTTCTGGCAGAGTATTTTGTGACCAAATCTGTAATCATACACATGATCATGAATTCCTTTCCCTTTCTATCCTCACCCCCAACTTTACATACTTATTTTTTGTTAAGAGGACTTACCATAGTTATTATATTTTGATTTTGATAATTTTTACAGGGTTCAGAATGCTTAATGGTGCTATTCTGAATGCCTGCACCAAACTCAAGTGGAAGACAGGAGGAGGAATATAAGTTATGGCTTTGATAGTACTTTAAAAAGTTTTAAGTGGTCCCAGAGCCATGTAAGTCTACTTTCTTAACTCCAGAAAAATTCAGAAACTGACTGCTATTGAAACACAGCTTGTCCTAGTAAAAGGAAAATAACTGTGTAATTTGGGTGACATAAATCAGCTACAGTGAGCTCTGGGAAGAAACTAATTTCACTATGATGTTTATGCTGTTTAGTCCTGTATAAAGCATATTTGAGTTTTATACTTCTCTATAAATTATCTACCTGTGTACATAATTTTAGGTAATTAATTAAACAGTAGCTTCCCAAAGTGCATTCTATGAAGTTAAAAATGAATAAAAATTAATTAATTCATAGAGGATATTAAGTTGTAACAATAGTTCCTAAAGCCTAAATGCAGGCTTCTGAGTTGATAATTTATCTAACGAAGACAAAGGTTTTCACCTTTATAATATACATATAGAATAAATAAAAAGTATGAACAATATATTCTGTTCATATAAAGAAATTTACAGGGACTGGAGAGATGACTCAGAGGTTAAGAGCATTGGCTGCTCTTCCAAAGATCCTGAGTTCGATTCCCAGCAACCACATGGTGGCTCAGAACCATCTATAATGAAATCTGGTGCCTTCTTCTGGCCTGCATGCACACATGCAGGCAGAACTCTATACATACTAAACAAATAAATCTTTTTTTAAAACTTACAAATGGAAAAAATTTACAGATGTTTATATAGTTTAGAAATATGAATATTCTAGCTACTACACTATTTCTTCTAGAATAACTATAAGGTGACCCATCAGAATGTCAGTCCCCCTTTAAGGACACACAACGTCTTACTCTTAGGGAACTTGTTCATTGCAATGGGAGAAGAAAACAAATAGCAACAGATGTAAATATTCACAGATTTCCCTCTTCCCCAACAGAAGAAGAATGTTACTGTGAAAGGTATGTTTAACAGCTTATCAAGAAAGATCATCTGAAATAAATAGAGATGCTGTGTCAGCTTACTGTTACTGTGACAAAGAACCCGAGATAATAAACTCGTAAGAAGGAAGGATGTGATACAGCTTGACTTTTTGCCAGTGTCAGTCCACGACTGGTTGATCCCATTGCTTTGGGCCCATAGTAGAGAAGCACGTCACGGTAGAGCCTATGGTGGAAGAGGCTGCTTACTTTACCATTGCTAGGAAACAAAAAGAGAGAGAGAGGAAGGGCCAGAGTCGCAAATATACCTCTTAAAGTCACACATCTCTTTGATCTAAGACCTCCTACTAGATTATACATCTTAAAGTTCCTGTCATCTCCCAGTGGTGTCTAGGTGGGTACTAAGCCTTTAACACATGGGCCATTGAGAACTTTTAAAATCCAAGCCATGGCAGAAGAAATACCTCCTTTATCTCTTTTTTTTACTCCAGATAATGAGGCCAGCAGTTGGAGTTTCATTAGACTTATAGGAAGTACTTTTCTCTTACATAATAAATCAGAAAATAAGACAAGGTTCTTCAGCTGTTACTTAAATTATAAATTTATGGAATTTTGTATTTTGAATTTTGACATGTTTATATATTGATGAAAGGCTATCAATTTCTTTCTGGGGAACTTTTTTAACCACAAATATTTTGTTTCTTTTTCTAGTAATACCTTCTGCACCCATCATTTCCAGAGCTGAGACTGTAAATGCTACTGTACCCAAGACCATAATTTACTGGAGTAGCAAAACCATGATTGAGAATGAATTCTGTGAAATGAGATACAGAGAAACAACAAATCAAACGTGGAATGTAAGCTAAGTTTTCATTGTTCCTTAGCATATGAGGAAATGAGTTAGAGAAAAGCCAATTAGCAGTGTTCAGACTGGACTCAGGAAGGATCCGCTTCTCGCACTTTTGACTGATAGGACATTTGAACTACTCTGATTTCAGTGATTACTATGTGCTTCTGAATGGGGTTGTTTCCTGAAATGATCCTCTGCCTTCTGTAAGTTGCTAAATGGGCTGAATTTACAACTAAATAAGATTATCTTTAGTTCCTTAGGATTGTCTCTTAGGATGAAATTTACATCTTCATCCATGGGTATAAAACGAAAGCATTCTATGCTGAAATTTGACAGCATGGTGGGTAGGGGAGATTCGGAATGGAGATGTTAGAGTAAGATGTCTGTTTTTCAAATGCAAATGTGTGTGTGAGTCAGGAGCTGAAGCAGTGTCTCAGCAGTTAAAGGCAATGCCATTGTTGTGAAAGACTGTAATTTGGCTCCCAACAAGATACGAAAAAATGGGTATCTTACAACCTTCTTTAGACCTTAAGGGCACCTTCATACATGTGCATGAATACAACACATACACATGAATAAAAACAAATCTTTAGCTATCTCCCTCT